GCCGGTCCCTCTGTTGGTCACGGGGAACGGAGCCCAGGGAGGACGCGTGAGAGGGCGAAGGGACGCGCTGTGCCAGCCTCGTGTCCCTCAGAGCTAGAGGGGCACCAGCCCAGACGGTTGGCTCTGTGTTTGTAGTCAGGGACGGTGGCTTGTGATGAAGGTAGGACCCAGTCAGGATCCGGAGCAGTCCCCGGCAGGGACATGGCCCTGGGGGGAGGAGGAATGGCGGACAGAGCCCGCCTCTCCTGTCGCTTAATAACTGACCAGGACCCGGTTCCACTCGACTTCCAGCCTGTGCCTGGAGCTCGGGGTCCTGGGGAGAACCGAGAGCCTTGCCACACAGCTGGTGCCCTTTGCCCAGCTTTGCTGGTGGCAGGGCTGCTGGTCTCCCACCCCCGTGACGACCAGTGGAAGCGCCTCCCAAGACGCACACCGCGCCAGGGCTCAGCCGGCCTGTGGACAGCCTCGTTCGAGTCTGCATTCTCTAATTTAATAAAGAGCAACAGGTTTTTTTGGGGGGGGCTGTTTGCATCTTTTAAAATGTCTTGTTTAGAAAGTAGGGTGTTCCCTGAGGTTGGGGGACTGCCTTGCATTTCTGGCTAACATGGCACTCGTCTTGATGAAGAGAGTAGAAACGCAGGATCCATTTGGGGGACGTATTTAGAAATACGGAATGCTCCGCTTGTAACTGCGTTCAGGTCTCGGGACTCAGGAACTGTTGCTTCCCGCCATCTGACCGGGTGCTTTGAGGGCGTGGGCGGCCGCTCGGAGGGCTGCACCCGCCGCAGGAGCCGACCAGGACTTACCCGATGATCTGATAAAATCGGTGTTCTGCCCTGCACCGCACAGCATTGGCCAGGGCTTCTGAACGGTGACGGTTTCCTCAGTGCTGACAGCACCGCAGACCAAGGCCATGTCTCCCCTTTGCACCGCTTGGCAGGGAGGGGGCTCCTGAGGGCCTCCGTCTGGTGTGAGTCGGGCGTGGAAGAGAATTTGGGATTTGAGCCTGGGTGGGTTGCATTTTTCCCTCTCTTGCCCCTTTCACGTTGCTAGGGTAAGAGGTTGCCAGGGTGAAGAGATGACCCCCCGGAAGGAGAATCCAAGAGGTCAGGTGGCTGGTGGTCCTGCTCCAGGACAGCTCTCCCTGCAGGGCATCCGAGGAGGGGTTAGCTGGGGATTTGGGAAGAGAGGCACCGGCCTTTGGAGGCCACACGTGTGGGGGGGGGACCCCGGTGACAGCACTGACGTGCTGCTGCCCACACCGCCCGTGGATGAGGAGGCAGGCGGTCATGGCAGTCAGCGACGGGGCCGGCGTTGGAGTCCGTGTCCAGGCGGGATTGTCGGGGGGCTGTTGGCTCTGGGCCTTCTCCCAAGACTCACCCAGAAAGTCCCTGCGCCTGGTCCAGGCAGGGTCTTGACCTTCTTCCTACTCCAGCAGACGGGAAGTTTTGTGACTTCGGTCGTGGAAGAAGGAAGGGAGGAAGGGTGAGACTGGGACCCTGCCCGGCATCTTACTCCCTCCCTCGGAGACTTCCTGTCTCACCGCAACCTGCTCAGTCATCCTTTGTTTGCCTTGCACTTGACCGTGATTCTGTGTATCGGAGTCAGGGGCTCAGGCTTTGCCTACCCCGAGGAGAGGGTGATCCCAGCCCCCCACCTCTTGATAGTGGCCCTTCGCTGAAACCACTGAGCCCTGGTTCTCCTGTTTGCTGACCTGCCCGTACCAGTGGTTGCCAGCATGTGGTCCAGGGACCAACAGCATCACCCTCACCAGGCAGGGAGGGAGAGATGCTCGTTCTCAGGCCCCCACCCCCACCTCTGGGGATAGAGACCGGCTTTGTTTCAGTGAGAGTCTGCCAGGCGAGGTGTCTGCTTGTGGGACGTTGAGACCCCCTGCCGCACTCAAGCGTGGGGGTGTCGTGGGGCTTCTGCTGCGTGTTGGCACTCTGTCTGGTCTTGCATCTGTCGAGGAAGGAAAAGGCAGGGAGCCTGCCCTCGCGGTGACCCTCAGGCACTGGTGGGAAAGAGGAAAGGAAAAAGCCTCGTGAAGTGGGGACACTCTTGCATGCTGGGGGGCCCTGTTTTCCACTTGAGGGGACTGAGGCCCCGAGCCCAGGTAAGGGACGTAGCACAGGTCACGAAGCTGGTAAGGGCAGCGCTAACGTGAAACCGATGGGGTGACTCGGAGCCATCTCAGACCTCCTGCCTTCCCAGGCCGCCTCCCCCACCTGGACCTCCTCACGCAGCTCCTGACGACTGCTGCCCCTCACTTAGTCACGGGAGAAGGTTCCGAGTCGGAATCAGAAGTCAAAGGACTTCTCCGGGAAGGTCTCCTTCATCAGCTCTTAAGTGGCGATTGGCCAGGACCCTGGCCTTGAAGCTCCCGCCCGCCGCCGGAGCCCAGAACTGGAGCCGGGTCCGACCGGGGAAGTCCCGGAGCAGCTGGTCAAAGGCTGGATGAACAGTGTTTTATTTTGTTTTGCTTTTTTAAAATAGGGAAACAGCACAGTAGATGTTTACCTCCCGGTCTCCCCAACACTGGGTGGAGGCCATTTCTGGGTGTCGTGCAAGGCCACAGTGGCGTCTTTCGTGACTGAACAAGCGCACTGCGTCCTCCGACTTCCAGTTTACCTGGAGCAGCAGCACGAGGACCCTGCGAGAACACCGAGCTCGGGGTCCCCCAGTTCTACTCCTCCCTCCTTCAGGGTTCACTCGGCCCATGTGCCAGGCCGTGCTCGGGGTTCACCGCTGTCCTTCTTTCCGAAATGTTCCATTCGGGTTGTCGTGGAAGCTGCTGTGGTCTCACTTGTGGCTTGTGGCCATTCGTTCGTGTAAAAGTAAATACATAACAATTTCTATGACAAGGCACAGCCCACAGGAGGAGGAGGAAGCAGTCTTCGGGCCATAGGTGTAGGTGTCCACATACTCGAAAGGGCACAGCTCACACCTGCTGCCTCGCCCAGGGAGGAAGCTCGGTCAGAAACACAGGCCGCACAGGGACCCAGACCGCTGACTTGATACACGGCGGGTCCCAGGTAGGAGCCCGCAGCTGCAGGGAGGGAAGGGACACACACACACGCCCCTGGAGGAGAGATAAGTGAACCGGTCCTGTGTTCTGCCTAAGAAAATTTCACCACCTGAACGGGGGAGATGCCAGACGCTCTCACGTGGCCGTGTCATCTGCCACGTCCCAAAATACTGTTTCCATGAACCGTTTCCACGGTAGCATTGGCAGCCTTGAACATAAAGGCCGTTGCCCGTTTACCCAAAAACATTCCCAATTTTGTAGATGGGTTGTTTCCCGGTTTCTACCGTGAGCCGTGAAAAACTCAGGGTCCGAGGCAAAGCCGTATAGTCCAGGTTGGTCCTGAACGTCACCTTTATAGGAACCTGTGCTTGTCGAGTGTGGGGGCCGGGGGTCCCCTGTGTGCCGACGCACTGGATTGGACACGGGCCGAAGTTCGCCTCTAGAAGAGGGCGAGGATTTGTGGGGTCCCGCTTTCCCCTCTCGTTCTGCTGTGGCACTTTGAGACATGGGCAGGGGGTGGGGAGAGACCCCAGCCCTGAAGTGAGCAGACGCAGGCTGTGGGGGCCATTGTGGGGGGAACCATGTGGGTGCTGCCTTGAGGCACGGCGCTGCAGCGAGGACCAGCGCTGGGGTGAGGGTTGGGGGGGCTGACCCAGGGCCACTGACAAGTGAGGGGCGTACAGAGAGCGTGTGCTGAAGTTGGCAGACTCTTCCGAGCGACCCGGCAGCTGCGTCCAAAGTAAACACTCGATGGGTGGACAATGGCCCGTGTCCTGTGTCTTGAGCATCCTGTCCCCAGCCCCCATTTTCCCACCTCCTTCGGACCCCATCTTTTGTCGTGGCAGGAGTGTTTCCTCACGTTGCTGCCTTTTCCGAGGAGTTCCCGGCTGGGATGCTGCCCTTCCCCTCTGCGCAAGGGTTGTCTCGAGTCACTGTACCTTTGGGAGGTCTGCATGGACCGTGGGACGAACTGTATCCACTCGAGATGGTCCTGCCTGCTGGACATTTCCTTCCCCCCCCTTGCCTTTCTGTGCATCTGGGATTCATTTTACTGGTGAAACCCCTGGGGGAACGGTGGCCTGGAAACCAGCCAGCCCAGCATCTCGGGGGAGCACCCGGCCTTCTCCCGATGTTCCTTTTAATTGCATGTGAAAGATTTACAGGGAGGATGGGCTGTCATGGGCTGGAGGAGGGGACACCCCCGTCCCCCGTTGCCGGCCCGGTGGCCTTGATGTAGCAAGGTGCCCAGTGCAGAATTCCCACCTCCTGTTCCCCAGCCTGACCAGGTCTGGGAAAACCAGAGCCCGGAGACCCTCTCCCGATGCAGGGAGCTTTCAGGGGATGCGCAGGGTGGGTGACCTTCAATGCCACTCCTCTCCTGTCATTGTCAAACTTGTTTAGGGAATCTGTCACAGACGTGGACTCTGTACTTAGCACGTTAGTGCCCTGTGACTTTAACCGCCTCCTCGAGACCCCACCCCGGGGGGAGGAAGCCCCACTGCCTGCAGGTGGCAGGGATGTGCGTTTAGGGCTCTTCCACTGAGCTAACACCACCAGTGTTGGCAGCGGAAGGAGCAGCAGGAGGGGGACGCCGCACCGCTGGGCAAGAAGTGCCAGAAAAAGGCCTCATCTCTGACCAGGCTCCCCGGAGAGCAGTCATGGTGCCTGAGGCCTGCGGGGACCTGAGGGGACACACGGCAAGGGAGGGGCTGCCTTGGAGTCCCAGGAGCTCCCACCCTGGGGGCCTTTCCTTGAGAGTGCTGGGAGCAAATGAGGGTCCGTCTGCCTTTTCGCCCTGCGTGGAGCCCCAAGGGGCAGCTCCAGGACGGGGTCCTGCAGGCCCGCCCCCTCCCCCGCCCACGTGAGTGCAGCTGCCCCACTGTGGACGAGCCTCGGATGGGAAGCAGAGGAGATGCGGGTTTGGAGCTGAACAAACCTAAATCTCAGTCACGGTTCCCTTGTTGTCTTGCAGTGTGCCCCTTCTTTTCGGGATGGAAGGCTGGGTCCCAGGACTTTGCCTCTGACATCGGGAGCTGGTGGCCTGTGGCAGGTGAGCTGTGTGCACGGAGTGTTGGAGTGAGTCGCCGCACCTGGGCCGGCTGCGTGGCGGCCGCTGTGTCCTGACCGAGGTGCACAGGTGCTTGTGGGGAGGTGAGCCCTGGGCACATGCAGAGCAGCGCAGAGGAGAGAAGCAGCTTGCGGAAGCTTCCGGTGGCCCCTGACCCTCTCCCTCATGGCCTGTTTTCACGGGACGGTCAGAGGTCACCGGTGCGCTAGACACCTCAGTGTTCCCCAAACAGCCCCTCATTCCCATTTCCTCTCTGCGGCTCCCCCTCTGTGGCTGCCCCTGGAATGTTCTCGCTCTACCCAGAACCAGATGGAGCCCAGGTCGGCTGCCCTGTCGTGTTTGCACAAAGGACTGTTCTCACAACGTAAGATGTCACCAGCTCCTGAACAGTGGCCAGCAGTGACGACAGAGATGGGGCCTGAGGGAGCGCCAGGTGGCCCTGCCGTTCCAGGTCGCCCCCACTGGGCCCTGGGATAGCACCTGCCCTTGGAGTACAATAGCACAAAATGTTAAAGGGAAGCACCGTGGTGCCCCTGAGGAACACCTGAGGCGGCTGGCACCTGCAGCAGAGCGGGAGGGTAAATGACATCCTGGTGGAAAGTTCATGGCTGTTTTCTTGGCTGCCCTTGCTGTTCTCTGGCAATGGAAGGAAACTGCCTTTTGTAAAGTCAGTTACGCTGGAGCGTCTCCGTCATTGGTTCCAGCCTTCCTGTGCTTCAAACGACAACGAAGCGCCCCGCCCCCGGGCTAAAGGATGGTGGGCAGAACTAAAATGGACATTTGCATAAGGCTGGGGTGTGGGGAGACTTGAGGGCAAGCTGCTCCGGGCTGCTTCCTGGAGGCTCACGGTTGAGCGAAAAAAGCCCCTCCCAGTCGAGTGGGGGCCACTGCAGTTACTTGGGGTTCTTCTTTCAACGCACAACTCTCTCTGCTCAGGGGAGGGGGGGAGGAGATTGGATGTCGTCCCAACTTTCTCCACATCTGTGTTCGCCAGGATCTGCCTGTGCTCTAGGACGGAAAGAATGCTCGGGATGTCTTCGGGTGGGACCGGGGGGCTTTGAGGAGGGAAGAATTTGGGGGGCGGGGGCCGTGCTTGGTCCCAGAGCCCATCCCTAGTGCGCGGAGGTCCTGGAGACTTAAAATACTTCTGCCGCAGGTCTTGCCTTATAAGTGCAGCCCCCTGGCCCGGAGGCTGCGGTCTGTCTGGGTGGCGGTGAAACCCGGAGAAAGGCATCCACATTCCTGGCATTCTTCGGGCCTGGCGTCGGCCGGAATGCTGGGGGTTTTGAAATCAAACACAAGAATGCAGCACGGTGCCTCTCTGTAGATAAACCTGAGAGAACCGGTGGGCTGTGCTTCAAGACTTCCTGTCTGACCCCACGGCTCGCCCAGAGCAGGCCCCTCCTGGGCTGGACGGAGGGAGATTCGTGGGGGCCCTGCCTGGGGCCCCTCTCTGGCTCCCCCAGTTCCCTGGGTGTCATTTACGTGGTTTGCTTTTCCTGGCACTGAGCCAGACTTAGGAGAGTGGCAAGACTTCTGGGAAGGAAAAATGGGAGGGAGGGGGGCGGGCCTGGCCCACTGGAGGTGAGCCAAAGCCGCCTCCGACTCCATCCTGGCATAAAGGACTCCTGGGAGCCTGGGGAGGGAGGTGCACCTTTACCTGCCTGGGGATGGCGGAGTGGGTCCCTGTCCCAGCATCTGAAGTGGCCATCGCAAAACCGGTGTCTTAACATATTCAACCACCTTTTGTGGCTTTCCCCTCAGAGAACATAACTGCATGTTTTCTTTCTGTTTCTTAATATTCAAGACCTGATTTTTCTCAGGTTCATTGGGAGATGTACCTTCCCAGGGTTTCAAGTTCTACATCGAGTTTTGCCTGTGCCTGGTTTTGTGATTTGCATGTAATTCTTGCAGCTGGGGGTCAGGTTTAAGCTGTTAGAGGTCCGCTATTAATCGCGGCCAGAAGGAGTTTATCAGGTGCCCTCGCACGCTGCTGCTGAAGGTGATGGGCCGAGTGAGGGGCGGGAAGGAGCGGACCCCAGCGCCCTCCACGTGAAGACCAGTGTGAATGGCTCACGTAACTGGAAGTGATAGAATTTGGCCCGACAGCGTGATCCCCCGCAATGCCAGTCAAGGCCAGAGCTTGGGGGGTGCCCAGCCTGTCCCCACAGCTGCCCAGCTCAGGACACTTCAGCTGAGCGCCCTCTGCAGGCTGTGCCTGCTGCAGCCCAGGGCACTGTGTGTCCTGCGCACCTTACATCTGAGAAGAGGCTCAGAGTTCAGGACCAGAGGACTGTGACTAACGGGAGGCCAAGACCAGGCCCGTGGCCCGCCTTTGTGAGCCCCAAGCTGCTCCTGTCTTGCCGCCTCCCTTTCCCAGCGCCCGGAAGGGCCCAGGAGCTCCGTGGGCAGCCACCCCAAGGCCGGCACCAACCAGCCCTGACGGCGTTCGGGCCCCAAACATGCGCCGCTCAGCTGATTTCTAGAGTGAAAATAAGCAGGTGAAATTAAGTTCTGTTCTCTTAGACTGTACATTGACGTGAACGTCAAGGGTATAGTTAAGAAAAGAGTTGGATAATCTCAAAGGATGGGGCCCGTCAGCTTCCTGGACTCGTCTGCACTCTGCAGGGGTGGCCGGGCAGACACCCTCTGTCTGGACCGCGTGGAGAGTCACTGACAAGTTTTCGTTGTCCTGGGGTGTTTTTCAGACGGGGGTCTCCAAACGCTCCTGACTGTGAACTTTGTGTAATGTCCAGCGAACCATTCCGTGGTGCTCATCGCTGGCGTTCAGCCCATTCACAGTGCCGTGTGGCCACCTCCATCTCGGGGCTCTCCATTCTCATCACTCCAGCGGAACGCCCACATCCATTCACAAACAGCCCTTCCAGCACCCTCTTCCCTCCTTCCTCCGTGTCACTTTCGAGGTTTGGCTAGGGCTCGGATCTGTATGTTGGGGTGATCCCGGCTTTCAGAGGTCGCTGGGTCAGAGCACCTTCGGCCAGCGTCCTTGACATCGAGACTTCCAGACCTGCGTGGACCGTCCCTGGCCCTGTGGCCTAGACACACTGGTTCTGCACCTGCCGAGGCCTGTGCGGGCCCCTTTGGGATGTCCGCACCTGTCCCAAACTTTTCGATAAAAACTTATTGGAGCCAAACAAAGGACACGCCTGGAAGCAAGATCTCAACAGACGGAGCAAAGTGCTTCTTTAGGAGGACAGTTTGCTGCTGCTTTTATATGTTTGGAATTAAAGACGGACCCTAAGGAAGGTTACAGGGAGGTGGGAGAAAGTGGGGCGAGGCTAAACTGCAGGGGCATGAGGATCCTGAAGGATTCTGAGCTCCCTTCTCGAGGGTGGTGCGGCTTATTTCAAAGGCTGTTTACCCAGATGCGCAGGAATGACGGACAGCACTGGCTTTGGGCGAGGGTAAACCCTTCAGAAGTCAGGGGCCGGGGGTGTGACTGCCCACCTGGACCCATCGGGTTGGGGAATCATGGGGGATCACACTGTATGTAGATCCCCGTGTGTCCGCAGGTCCGACCTCCCCGAGACCAGGGCAGGGGAACCTGTCCCGAGTGGTCCCAACACATTACTCAGGCCCTTTCAAAACTGTTGCATTAAAACCCCTCACGTGTTGCTGCTTCAGGAATAAAGGGCCCCACTGAATGCGGGAGGTCACCAGCCTCTGAAGCGAGGCCTGGGGCAGGTGGGCAGACTAGAATCCTGAGCCGGGGCCCCAGCCCCCCCAGCCACACGCCCCACTAAAAGTGGCCTTGGCGTTCCTCAGAGCCTTGCGTTTGGGCCCGGAGCTGCTAGCCTTGCCTCTTCACGCTTCTTAAAGCAGCCTGCCAGCCGGCTGCGTCGTGAAGACGGGGGAAATTTTTAACATACTTGCGGCTTTGGAGATGAAAGGTGCCAATGGAGAAAGAGTCTGCCGCTGTTTGTTTTAGGAGCCTTCCGGTCTGGGACCGAAACCTGCTCAGACCCACAAAGAAATCTCCAGCCTAATCTGAAAGCCCGGGTTTCCTGTCCGTGGGGCTGGCGTTTCCCCCCTTTGTTAGCTCGTTTTGCGAAGTCCCCTGGGCAGGCCGCTCTGCAGGGAGGGCCCTGGCAAGGCCTTTCGGTCCTGGGTCCGACCAGTGGCTCTGCGCGCAGCTCACAGCTTCGGTCCTGTTTTTAAAAGGATTCCAGTGATGAGCACCTGAGCCCACGTGGCATAAATTCATTTCCTTGGCCCTCAGTTTCCTCATCTGCAGAAACGGAGCCTCAGAAGGGTCTCAGAGGTAAAAAGAAGTTGACAGGCACTCAGACTTGCTCCAGAAGAAGCACTGGAGGGAGACTGGAGAGATGCAGTGGTGCGGGGCACAGCAGGTGGCGGGTGGCCTGGGCGCCGGAGTTTGACAAGTGAGGCTGCTCTTCTCCTGGAAGGGAGACTGTGCTTCTCCCGGTCACCTGGCCCCCGGGGCTCGCCCAGCACACGCCTGGCCCGAGAGCGGCCTGCAGCCAAGCACGGCAGTCCTGGACCCTGTTTGCGTTTCAGCCGGCAGGCTGTGCATCTGTGTCCCTTGCTGGCCCACTGGGGGAGAGGGCAGGGCCATGGGCATGTCCAGGGCAGGCGTCTCTGGACCAGGGAGTCATGGCCGTCAGTTCTCGCAGGAAAGGGAAGAGGCGGTGTGCGTGTCCTCACCTGGGCTTATGTGAGAGCTTCCCACCCCTCCTCCCTCCCTCCCTCCTTCCTTCCCTCCTTATCTCTGGTTTGGCCACAGCCCCAGCCCTTTGGGCTGGCCACGCAGCCTCTCGGGGACCCCCTTCTCGAGGGTCCTTGAGGGTCCCCAACACTAGTCCAGCGGCTTCTTTGTGAACATGTAGTTGGGGTGGCCTCAGGGTGGCCCTGCCCTGCCATTTCTCAAGCACATTGCCCTCCTGACCCCGGGTTGCCCCAGGGGTCCCAAAGGTCCCAAGAGGGATTAACCCGACCTGCTG